TTGACTCCAGCCATAATTATAATTTAAGAAATTTCGGAATTCTGTATTTGAAAACTTTGTTTTGCCAATTTTGTTTGTTTTGTTTTTATAAATATATAAAACTTGCAACAACCTGTTTTGCATTCTTTTAGTTATCTTCCTCGAGAGAGATTTTAATTTATTAAAAGCTCTGGATTTCGTATTTACCTACGGTAAACGCTTGGTAAATACACAACTCTCTGCTTTTGATATTATTCTAACTGTAGTTAAGTCCATTCACAGATTTCAGCTAGGATCTAACTTATTGCGCGGCGCATCCTTGGCAAACTAATTTCCATATTTCCTTCTTTCCTGCTGCTGGTCTGGAGAGCCGCCTCCGCCCATAAATTGTCTATAGCTGTCATACTTTTAGGCATTTAATAAATTTTATGACTCTGAATGCTTCTTCTTGTTGCTCTACGCTTTTATTTTTTCACTGCCTTACGTTTTGCCTTCGTTTTTAATAACATTCGTTTCTTGTCCTCGACGCTGTCCGCCTGGGGCTATGCTCTTCTTTTTTTGTGTTTTTTTTTTTGTTTTTACCTACCCTCTCCACTGTGAATTGCAAATGTGGGTATTTATGCGCTCGTTGCGCTACAAGTTTGTCCTGTTGTCGCCCCACCCCCTCTGTGTTCCCCTTGCTCCATCTACCCTCCTCTAACTCGACTCATTTTGGCGCTCGCCCTACCGGGAGCCTGCAACAATCTTTTATATGAGTTTATTATGTATGCTTTTCCTTTTGCTTAAAACATACAATTTCCTCAAGCGATTTCCGTTTGCACTGATGAGTCTTATTAAATTCGAGCAGCCCCCATATTATCCTCCTGGGGGTGACAGCACGCACACGCCCCGGCCGCCCACAAAAAATTGTCTGCCCGGATTTGGTCGTTAACTAACTAAAATACGGCGCCTGCTTGCAAATTGCGCTTTAATTGAATTGCACATAGATTTTGTTTTAGACGCTACGCTTTTCCGCTTGCAGACAAATTTTCACATAAAAAAAAAAATAGAGGGAAACCCCATAAAGTTTTGCTAGATGTCACAATTTGATGCCTCTCTCGCTCCAAAAACTCGCGGCATAACTCAAAAGTCTTTAGAAGTGTTTGAAACTGTCATACGCACGTAGTTTTTTCTTGCACTCAATCTGTCCACCACTTGCTCTTCCTCTCTCTTTCTCTCCCCTTTCTCTGTCTCGCTCTCTATAGCTCACTCTTTTAGCATTTCGGCGACTACAACAACACACTTTGCCACTTTATTATACACTATAGCTTTAAGAGCGAGTACACTAACTTTCTCATCAAATTTGTTCGGCTTTAGCTGACCACGATAAAGTGAGGCAGCTATTTAGGAATCTGCAAAATGAAGTTCCGGGTTATCGAACTCCAGGCTAAATGAAACACATACATACAACATAATATTTAGGCAGTTACAGCCAATTCAAGAGCTGTGTGGATATTTTTATTATTATTATACGATTATAGTTAGAGTAAATCATTTATCTATACGAAATATCTCAAAAGTATGAATTGGAAAATATAATAAATTAGGTATATAAGTTCTTTAAAGGACTTATGATAAGAAGGAATTCTTCTATTTGAAGGAAACAATTCCAATTGCTGTAATCCCATTTCTTGTTGTTTAGGGTATTCATGTATTTTTAATAGCTCTTGAAACTGTCAGTTTGTGCGTCTTGTTTGACTACAATTTCGTAGCGGCATTGAGTGCTGAAAGTAAGCTGAATAAAGAAAGAAATAACTGAAATGAGAGTAAAGAACTAACGCGTTTTGGCCAGCATCGAATCAAAAGCATTTCTAACCAACTTTGTGGCAAAGTTTGCGCAGGCGGCGCAACGACTGAGATTGAGTGCAAATAAAATGATGTCATGAAGTGGCAGCAGCGGCGAACAGGGGAGCTCGAGCTAAACTCCTTATTGTTGTTGGCCAAAAGGAAGAGGCGGCGGTTGGAGGCGGGGCACTGCAATGCATGCTCCACTTTATTTCAGCTATCAACTCGTAAAGTTTGCGGTTTGATGGCCGGCTGCAAAAAGGGGGCGGGCGGAGTTACTTAGTGTAGAAAGAGTGTAGTGCCAGAAGGGGCGGGAGGTCAGGTTGGATGGGTGTGGGCGTGGTCTGTGATTTTTCTGCACGAACTCACAGAAACCGCAGCCGAGATGCGGCTTTCAAAACTTGAAGCACAGCAATTACAACAACAACAACATCAACAACTGGACAAATCTTGACAAGTATTTTGTCAACTTTGCCAGCGGCTGCATAAGTGCTGCAGGTGGGGACGTTTTCCATTGGCGGGGGGACGTGGGGGTAGTGTGTTTAAAGTGTCGCCTATTTCTTTTGCCACAGAAACTGAGAGTTGATCAGAGTGCAGCAGCAGCAGCAGCAGCAGCTGCTCGCAATCGGACACAACTTCTAATTAGCTTGATAAACAAATTCTTTGCCTACTTACCGGTAGCTGCAGTGCCTTTTCCCCCTTCCCGACTGCCGCTTTGCTATTCAATTAAAAATTAACATTTTAATTGCAAATAACTTTTATACTTTATGGCACAGTTTGCCGCACCAAAAAATAGCTGTAAGAGGGCTGCCTTTAGTATTGTTCCGGGTGTTCACTTCGACTGCTAAAATTTCAGTTTCTTGCGTTTCGAACCATGAACTGAATCTTAAACCAAAAGAAAAAAAAACTATTATCTATCTTCCATCTTCTCAGGAGCTGGAACCCTTAACTTAACGAGTAAATATTTAAACACATCCGGCCATATTTTTGTGTTATTTAGATTGACAATATTCGAATACATCTGGTCACACTCTTGTGTGTCCAATATCCACAGGACTTAAACTCATCTTCACAATATAAAAGACAACTCCAGAACGAAAAAAATCTTTCAATTGGGCCAAAGGAAGCTATCTGTGCAGTGCATGCCCCTCGCTATTTTCATGCCCATTTCCATCACATTTTCATTCCCATTTCCCGCTACTTTCAGCCGTTTTTCAGGCCATTTAATTTGATCATGCGCCAACAATTATGCAACTTGTTGGCTCACTGCGTCTACAGCTGAGCACGCCAACATACTGTTGTAGTTGTTCCCTTGGCCGCCTTTTCCAAGCTTTATTGTTGTTGGCAATAAAACTTTTTCCATTTGCTTGGCATCAAAATGCCGTTTGTTGCTTCATTGTTGTTGCATACTTTTGTGAGTGGTCGTTCAAGGCGAGGGCCTGCGAGAGAGAGAGAGAACGTGTTGCATGCCCCAAGGTGTTGCGGCGTGTGTGAAAATTATATGCCAGCTTGTTGTAGAATTGGTCATTAAGACATCTGGAAATATTCGAGATTCCAATGAATAAAACCAATCTGAGCTTAGCATAGGTTAGCCACAATGCAGAAACTTTGAGCACGCACTGTATTGGGGATTGATTTTGTGTACATACAGCTTAAAGTCAGGTGGCACCTGGGACACACCTGCTACATTTAGTTTTATCTACTTTATCTTGTATCAGTCCATTGATTTTCCGCAATTTCCTTGCTGCATTTCCTTCCATCGTTGCTGTTTTATTTACTTGTTAGCGTCATCAAATATGCAACTTTTGACACGCCTTTGAATTGTTATTCGTTTGCCGAACTACCCCCCTCTCATACATTTTTATTGTCTTCAATTTCTATAAATTTAGTTTTCCTTGTCGACCGCTGTTGCTTTTAAGTGCGTTTTCTTGTATATTCTGGCTTGTGGCTTTTCTGTGCGCATTGAGTTGCAGTTTAATTTATGGCAATGTAATTTTCCATAAAATAAAACGCACGCAAATAGTTGAGAAAATTAGCTAAATTTGCAGTTTTATTTGTGGCTAAACTTTCAAGTGCTACACAATAGAATTAAATTGAATTTATTTGGGTTTATGTGTATTTATATGATGGTATTTCAGATTATTTCTGTATTGTTTATTTACTTTTTATTTATTTTAATTTATATTTGATTTTCTTTTATATTTATTGCTGGCAAATATTAATTGACTTTGCTTTAATTTTAAAACGAAAAGATAAGCGAGATGAACAATTGCATAAACCAAAAATGTTGCAACCTTCAAGAAAGGAATTTTACAAAACTCAGTCGGACAGTTTTCTAGCTTTGACAAGTTTTGGCAATCAGACGAAAGGCCTAGCAATCCTTAAGCAATACTTTACTTTATCATGAAAAACAGTCCAATATTATATTATTTAGGAAAATGTTTAGTAACATATTTAGCTTCTCTATAAGCGAGAACTTTACACTTCAGACAGCGCTTTGGGGTTACAATTCTCAACTTGTAAAGCCTCAGCATAAGACTTCCCTTTTTGCTGTCCCCACTTCCTTGGTCAGTTCCTTTTGCTGTTAATTGCTTTTGTAGACAAATTATAAAGCGCTCGAGTGGCTCTGGCTGTGGCCGCTGCCGTTTGTGTGCATCACTCAAAAACAGACAAAACCACACTCCGGTCCATGACCATGACTTTGCTCCAGGGCTGCCCAACAGCAACAACAACAACAACAACAACACAACACGAACCGGAAACGGCTCAAAAAAAATATTACAAAACAAATAGAAAACTCTTGTTGGCCGGGACCAGTCGTCAGTTTTAATTTAACTTTGACATGCATCAGCTCAAAAATCCAATTACAAAACAAATGTACAAAGCGTGCGCCCTTTTATTTTTTTTTTTTTTTTTGCCCTGCGCCCAGAGCGAAGGCTGCCAGCTAAATCCCATTAACGCCTGTGTAGATATTTTTTGGCCAGCAAAAACTGACCGAGCGAGCTGAAGATTTATGAAACCATTAATTTTATGAAAAGTGCAAAAGTATAATTTAAAAAAAAAGTGCAAAAACCAAAAGCAAAAACTGAGCAGTGAACAATGTGCGCTTAGGGCGTGCTGCTGCGCCAATATCGTGCCCCTGGCAATGAGCCGCCATCCATATGAGTGGCCAAGGATAAGCAGCCGGACAAGACAAGATGTCCAGCAGCCGCGGCAAATTGCCGCCACGTTCCGATCGCAATGCCAACGAGGAGGAGCAGCTGCAGCAGTTACAGCTAGGCGCCAGGCCCAAGGCCCATAAAATGCTGCACTCCAAGACTGACAACCCGTCACCGGGACATGCCAACTACATGGAGCTGGAATTTAGCCAAGCGGCGGCAGTTGGTCGCAGCTGCAGCGAGCTGCCTGTTAGCTATGCCACCAGCACAGTTGTGATGCCAGTGCAAGCCTATCGGGAGCCGGCACCGCCCACGCCGCCACCGCTTTCGCAGATACCCTCGCGTGAATCGCGCTTGCTGCACTCGGCGCCGAATACGCCCAGTCGCGGCAAAGTGGTGCTTAGCAAAAAGGAGCGCAAGGAGCTGAGCAAGCAGCTGGGCCTGGAGGAGCTGGCAGTTAGCACCTCAGCCCAATCCAGCCCCTACAAGGGGCGTGTCACGGAGCTTAAGAACTGCATAGCGCGTGGTCTTTTTGCAACGTTGCATCGCGGCTCGCAGAAGTCGCTGCAGCCAGCGGCGGGCGCGGCGGCGGCAGAGCGAGGCAGCCAGGACATGCAGCTGAGTCAAGAGTTGTCACCGCCGCCGCCAGCGCCAGAGCTGGCCAACAACAATGAAGACGATGCTGCCGATTATACAGAGAAGCTAAAGAATTTGCCCGTGCGGCGACGTAAGGCAGCCACCTCGCACATGGACAACTATTGCCTCTTCGATCCGGTGGACTTTATCAACGAGAAGGCGCTGCGTTATCCCGGCAATGCGAAACATGGTTTGCGGGATCCTTTGTTCAGCTCCAGGCAGCATCTGGTGTGCGAGGATGAGGAGGAACTGGTGCCGGAAGTCATCTACGATGGCGAGGAGCTCGAGGAGACCATCATTATTGAGACCTCCGGCGAAGCGGATGCCGAAACTGAGGGCAGCGCTTGTGCTTTGCCCAGTTTTGAGCATCATAATTATTTTGTCATCGATCCGGACGACTTTGAAATGGAGCCGGCCATTCTAGACATAGGCATACCTAATCCCTACAGCAACGAGCAGTTGGTGCATGCCAAGCTGGAGCAACAGCTGCTGAATGAGTTCGAAACAGCGCCCAGCATGTCGAATAGTCAGGAGTCGAAGGACACAGAAACCACCTCTACTGCTCTTGTGGAATCCTCCACCTCCACCAATTCGGCCAGCTCGAGCGGCAGCTCAAATGCACAGCAACAGCAACAACAGCAACAGCAGTCCATGAAAAAGAAGCTCACCTTTCTTAATCTGTCGCCCTTTCGTCCGAGCGCCAAGAAAAGCAATCAGAAAACCTATATGGAACAGCGCGCCATCTCGGAGCTGGTCACCTCCGATCACATGCTGCATCTGCAGCAGCTGTTGCAGCAACAGCGCAAGGATCAGCGCGCCCACACGGTGCCCATCGAGTCCAACTATGTGCTGTTCAATCCGGGACCCGTGCCCAGCCGCCATGTGCAGTACAAGATACGTAAGCCGCGCCCGCTCTCCACTCACAGCGATGCGGACAGTGGATTTCTCTCGCCCTGCTCACCGGATGAACTGAAGGCCAATCCAAGCATTTTGGTGCTGCAGCAATGCGACAGTGTTCAGGGTTATATTGAGGTGAGCTTGGAATATAATGCGTAATATCTATAATATATTTATGAATTTTACTTGAAATTAGAAATGCTACCGAAGGGTTTTTCGCATGAAAATATTTTGAAATTTAGACTAGAATTTCGTATACTTAAGATAAATACTTAGCTTCTTAGCTTTTGAATTTTCTGAGTGACAAGAGTCTTCAATTCTTAATATGTCTCTAATATATCTCTATCTCGATGTCAGCTTCAGTAAATTCAGAGTTACGAGAAACTAGTTTATTTTATTTTGAAAAAGTATGAACTTGACTAATCTTTTACTTAAACTAATGAAATACTTTTTATGGCTAAAGGTACTTCATTTCATGCTTATTATTATGGATTTTTCTTTGATAATATACAATCGCGTTTTTACTCTAGAATGGGGTTCCAGGCACATTTATTTCGATTAGATATTCAAAGTAAAGCTTATCTAAAATTTCGAACAAAAAATACACAAGATTTGTAACCGGCCCGAGGGTCTAGCCCTCAGCCAACACGTTCGCACACCCCATATACACATATCTTAAGCTGGTAATCATTGTGGCATGTTTCAGTTCGCACTTGTCGCCATTTGCCGGCTCACTTATCTTAACGAGCGGGCAACTTAACAAGTCTTATTATGCAGCTGCCGCCAACCCCGGGCACTTTTCCCGGCCTTCTTATGGAGTCGAATCCTGTAAGTGGAAATTATTAAAACATCCATGAAACTGCAGTTCAGGCTGAGCAGCAATGCAGCAGCTTTATCGTGGGGGGGTTGTTGGGTAAGCATTAACGGGGGTTGAGTTTGGCTTTTGGCCCTGGTGATTGCATCAATTTTAGTGTTTTCTTTGCGTCAAGTAGCTGCTGCTGCTGCTACTGTCGCTGCCATCGGCGCCTCCGGGGAGCAATCAATCCTCGCGTTGCCACTGTGCGCTTCATTAGTTTTTCGCTAGAGAAACAGAGAGCGAGCGAGCGAGAGAGAGGGTGAGAGTGACTGGGAGACAGGCAGAATAAATAGCGATAACAACAATAATAACAAGTGAAATACTTTTTGCACAGCTGTGCACAGCATCTTTGCGACTTTTAATGGAATTGAATTAAAAACTGTTGCCATGGCGTCGAATTTCGCTCCCCCCTGTCCCCGAAACCGCTTGCCTCAGGCATTTTGAGTCATTTGTAAATTGAAATACGTTCTGCAGACAGCAGCCGGGAAAAACAACAAGTTCAGGTCTCGCCGGGCCTTTGGATCATTGTGTGCCCCGCGGGCGCAGTGGTATTCACTGAAGTCTACTTATGGCCGCTCAATAAACCGGGCCAAGAGAAGTGTCAAGTGCAGTGCTTTTCATATTTGTAATGCAAGCAGTCAAACAACTAAGAGAAAGAGGGTTGCTCCATGGTCAAGGTAAATGGGCTGTAAAGCGATGTTGCCGCGGGGGTAGCTGCAAGCTTAAGGCGAATGGGGCCTGAAGAGACAAAGAGAGAGAGAGAGAGTGAGAAGAGAGAAAAAAAAGTGTGACTGGCGCTGAAAAGAGGAAGCCCCATTTAGAGGCTACAAAATTGTATCAAAGTTAAGTAAGATAAAATGCATTAAAAATAGGGCAATATAAGGCAACTGCATTAGCAATAGCTTATAATTCTTAAATAGTTTAAGCAGTTGAAGGCTTATAAGAGTAGTCAAGGGAATAAAAGATATGTCATTACAATTTTAAGATATGTTTATTCATATTTGCATATAATTGCAATTAGATAATCTATCTAATATATAATATATATGAAAAATGTTATATTTCAAACTAGTTGTAATTCTCAAACAGTTAAAGGAGTTATTGAAATTAAACTCTATGGAAGAACATTTTCTTAATCATGGGAGGATTTTATAATTAAGATAAGCAAATAACCTCAAAAAACAGAAAGATACTAAAGCAACCGAGTTTATGGGCTTAGACAAATGTTCTTACAAAGTATTTTCTAACTATTGCCAAATTTACAGCTTAATGAATTATTTAATTGAGATTCATAAAGTACCTCCATAGAGCGAAAGATATAAAAGAAACTGAAGCTAAAAGCCTAGGCGCTTTTCCCCTTAGTCTATCTGTCGCTCCCCAACTGCTGTTTAAATTTCTGGCTTTTCGTACTTCCATTATAGACTACACTTTATAGTCACTCTATTTGCCTACTGCCAAAGCCACCCACACTCATTAATTCTAACCAAACAAAACTCAAGCAATTTATGCAAAGCGACACATGACTCGCTTCCACTTGCCCATAAATTTGACTGCCGCATTTCCCTTCCCTCTGTGTTTGTGGGCCTAACCCAATGTCCTGTGGCCAGCACCCAGCAGCGCACGTCGGTAATCCCAGCTCTATATAGTAGAGTATATTCCAAGTGCGTCTGCCTTCCAGCCAAAGAACTCAATTGCAAATTGCAACTGCCACTGAGGCATGCAATTTTCTCGTACAACGCCGGACGACATACTGTTAGCTTCGTCGCCAACCGCCCCACCCTCGCGTGCGCGCAGTTCCAACAAAAACTCTTCGCGAGGTGCTAAGCTGTCAAATGTCGGACGTAGTCGTTGTCCGGGCTGCCACCACAGCGGCTGCTGTTTCAGCTGCTCTTTCAAATTGGGGTTGCCATGCACCCAGCATTGTTTATGCGTTCGAAATATTTTCTATGCCCAAAACTGGGCAGGGTAGTGTGTGCGCAGGGGCAGGCGGGGAGTGCATGTGGCACAAGGCGCGTGTCGCGGGCTACTTTATGTGCGGCTGACAAAACCCTTATCACCCCTGCATGTCGCATATATATGTGCATGTATTTCTCATGCCTCCGTTCAACTGATTAGTCCAATAAGTTGTAAAAAGTGTCGACCCAATGCGCGAGGCGATTATCTACTCTGGCTTTTATTTCGATAACTTTTTGATTTATGGCTGTGCAATAAATGTTCGCTGTGCACTTTATAATTATGTGGCGCCGGATGTTGCACGAAAGGATATAAAATGCCCATTGCCAATGCCATATGTGCGCAAAATAGTCCATAATTATGCTGGATAAATTGCAAAAAAAATTAAAATAAAACGAAAGAAAAATGTGAATGTGTGGCGTACTAAGTATGTGACTACGAGATACGCTGCACGGGAACTTGGAACGTGGAAGAGCTAATTATTAATAAGGCGTACAATTTTTAAGTAGGCTTAACATAATCGTGAAGTATACAGTGGTCTCTCATAATTTATAAAAGGCTCTGACTTATGCAAGCCTATCCTTTTCGTACTTGTACGAAAATGGGATAAATATATATTTTATTTAATTTAACATTTTCCGCAATGAAAAAGTGTTGAGTGCTTGAAAAAGATACCCAAAAAAAAAAAAAAACAACAATTCCACAAATTATAAATTAGTTTGCGGCTTTAATCTAGAAATTAATTTAAACATTTTAATTTCCAGAAGCTCCAATTTTATGGCACCAAAAATATATTCAAATTCATAAGTCTTTTATAATTTGGTTAACTTAGGAGCTTTTAATTGCAGATCTACTTCAAAAACTTAAGAAAGTTTATGGAAAAAATTAAATTTTAAGAAGCCATCAATCAAAAGTCAAATTTGTATTATGTAGTTCGTAATCTCCCTTACTATCCCCTTCATCATTTCTCAGCTAATCAATCATAAACGCGTTTCTGAAATTCCTTATGTGTTACAAACATTTCTTCTCAGTGAATGGACTCCACAGTATCGCACAAAAGTTCATTACAAATTGTAATTTTGCAGTTAAAAATATGCAACAGTTAATTCTCTTCACTTTGCTGTTTTTTGTTTTACTGCCTGTAACTATTTAAAATGAATTGTCATTTGGCTTAAAAAAAAAAGAACTCTTTTTGTATTGCAAATATGCATCTGAGCCGATAAAGAACTGGAACTGCAGCTGTCAATATCAAACGGCGGGTGGGGGGTATATATACCGCGGGGCATTAAAGTTGGCGCTGAATTAAGCTGCAATTTATTTGCAACAACATTTGCAATGGATTTTCTCTTATGTTCTCTCTGGTTTTCTTCGCATATTTGCCAGTTGGTTGGTTTTAATAATAATTTCATTGCAACAAAATAATGTATGTGTGTGTGTGCGCATATGTGTATTAATATTGTGCGTTAATTTTATGGCCAGCTGGGCCGCATTACCAACGTCTGTTGCCCGGAACCGAGAGGAAACATGGTATGGGCACAGGAACTGAGCCGTTTAATGGATGCGAGCGTTATTAATGCACATGCGACGAGGATAAAGACGAGGAAGAAAATGACGTCCTGAACAATGTCCTTCAACATTTTTGCTCCACTTTAAGTTTTTCAATTTGCTGCGTCCGCTTCAGGCCTGCTCTGGTCCACTGAGCAGCTGCAGCAGTCCAGGGCGAACCCAACGCTGGCCCACCCTGGCGCCTGTGTCCGGGCTTTAAAGGCAGCCAGCCAAGACCAATAGTCAAGACCCAAGAGGAACGCCAATGTCGTACTACCCGACGCACACAGCACTGACAGCTAAATGCGTTGCACTTATGCTTAAAACATGTCAGACACCGTAGACAGCACTCAAACCGACTAACAGACAGTCGGACAAACAGAAGGACGTATGCCGCACTGAAATAGAATCCTTTGGGGGCATGTGAATGCAGTTGAAAAGCGCTGCATATTTTTTTGGCGCACTCACTCTCGCTCAGTATTTAATGCTCCTATCACATGCTTGCCAGGAATGATGCCTTCGCCACGCCAAAGATTAGACGGGTTTCTATGGTATTCGATTTTGGTATTTGGGGAATAGGTAATTAAGAGTTCGATATACAAAAGCTTGACGATTGACCATATACTGCTTTTCGATTACACGTTCGTGTGTTACACATTTCGACTGAATCGTTGGCTTTTGCTGGTTTTGAAGTTGGTTTGTAGACTTCTCTCCCTAGAGTGCCATAGTGTACAACGGACCCAAATATTATGTAGGGCTTTTACAAACGTTTCATATTATCAGTTTAATATTTTGCATCGACCAT